TGCAACTTCAAGGCGGTATGGAAAGTTGGAGTGGGTCCACTTTGGCCCAATCCATCATCATCCTTTTCCTGCACTCATCAGCAGAGGGACAGGATCATAGAATCATAGAATCAAAGAGTTGGAAGAGACCTCATGGGCCATCCAGTCCAACCCCCTGCCAAGAAGCAGGAATATTGCATTCAAATCACCCCTGACAGATGGCCATCTAGCCTCTGTTTAAAAGCTTCCAAAGAAGGAGCCTCCACCACTCTCCGGGGCAGAGAGTTCCACTGCTGAATGGCTCTCACAGTCAGGAAGTTCTTCCTCATGTTCAGATGGAATCTCCTCTCTTGTAGTTTGAAGCCATTGTTAGGAGATGGACTGTGGCCATGTCACCATGACTACTACTCTCAGTTGGCCATGGAAGTCTGTGTGAGCACCTCACCATCACAGGTAACTCTATCGACATCAGAAGGGGTGGCCACACAACCAGCATGAAGAAAGGGGGCAATACTTCCTCCTTCTTCATGACAGATCTGCTCTCATAACCAGATCATCTTCTCTCCTTTCCATTCACATGGGTACCTCCACCAATGTCAGAATAAGACACCTGTGTGACTAAGAAGGAAGGAGGATTGACTCTTCCCTCATGCTAGTTGTATGGGTAGCTCATTCTGATATCTGCAAATGAACTCACAATGGCCAGGAACTAGCATGGAGCTGTGTGACCTTCTAGGAGTGGCAGTGGTGCTGACACAGATGAGGCAAGATAAGGCTATGTGATCAACGGCCGTAGTTTCAAGCCTGTTCCAAGACACATTTGCACCAGATGAGCCCAAAGATTTCTATAAAATATTGTGGACTGATGGTGCATGTCCCCTCTAACTTGGTGGGAAGATCAGTTCAGCTAAGAAAAAAAATATTATTGGCTCAATTACATCCAGAAAAGGCTTCAAGGCCGAGAGGGGATTTAAATCCAGTGCAGTCAGAAATACAGCCATTCTTAGAATTCACAAAAAAGAGCACATTTTTCACTAGCCAAGACAGAATTATTTCTCGGCTAGGGGCATCCCAATGAAGGTGACTAGCATTATAGGACCATGGATTTGAAATGCAGAATTATTGCAACATGAAAGCTGTAATTCATGTTGCAGTTGAAATCCAGTGAAAAGCATATTGAAAATGAATCACAGAACAACCTTCAAGTCCCAGAAGGGTTTCAGATGGTTTATTGAAGGCTGCTTATCTTCGGAAGCAAGAAATTATAGGAAAATAATGGGGGAGAAGATGAGGGAGTCAACATCCAGACAAAAGTAAAAGGATGGCTTCGTGGATTTGTGAAGAAACAAAACCCCATATTGAGCAAACTGATGCCCCCAAAACGAGATACTAAATTCTCTATGATGTGGCATCTCATGTGCTTCCCATAAAACTATATCCACATGCATTCGAAAATACATGTTTTGAAAGAGTGTATCTGTAAATATTCAATTAGAAGCAAATATTCATATTTTACAAAATCATATATTAACATAGAAATCATAGAATCATAGAATCAAAGAAGAGACCTCATGGGCCATCCAGTCCAACCCCCTGCCAAGAAGCAGGAATATTGCATTCAAATCACCCCTGACAGATGGCCATCCAGCCTCTGTTTAAAAGCTTCCAAAGAAGGAGCCTCCACCACACTCCATGGCAGAGAGTTCCACTGCTGAATGGCTTTCACAGTCAGGAAGTTCTTCCTCATGTTCAGATGGAATCTCCTCTCTTGTAGTTTGAAGCCATTGTTTCGCGTCCTAGAATCCAGGGAGGCAGAAAACAAGCTTGCTCCGCCTCCTCCCTGTGGCTTCCTCTCACATATTTATACATGGCTATCATATCTCCTCTCAGCCTTCTCTTCTTCAGGCTAAACATGCCCAGCTCCTTAAGCCGCTCCTCATAGGGCTTGTTCTCCAGACCCTTGATCGTTTTAGTCGCCCTCCTCTGGACACATTCCAGCTTGTACACAATATTCCAGGTGTGGTCTAACCCAAGCAGAATAGAGGGGTAGCATTACTTCCCTAGATCTAGACACTATGCTCCTATTGATGCAGGCCAAAATCCCATTGGCTTTTTTTGCCGCCACATCACATTGTTGGCTCATGTTTAACTTGTTGTCCATGAGGACTCCAAGATCTTTTTCGCACGTACTGCTCTCGAGCCAGGCATTGTCCCCCATTCTGTATCTTGCATTTGTTTTTCCTGCCAAAGTGGAGTATCTTGCATTTGTCACTGTTGAACTTCATTTTGTTAGTTTTGGCCCATCTCTCTAATCTGTCAAGATCATTTTGAATCCTGCTCCTGTCCTCTGGAGTATTGGCTATCCCTCCCAATTTGGTGTCATCTGCAAACTTGATGATCATGCCTTCTAGCCCTTCAAATGGGGTGGAAACAACTTATGAGGGAATGCATCGGGCCAGAAAATTTCCATTTTGTTCATTCCTTCTTTCTTCAAAAGCCTCATGACTGTTACAACACAAATACTTTGCAAATCTCAAAAAAGTTACCTTTGGAACTACAAATCCCATTAGCCTCTAACATAGTAGTTCCCACCTTTTCCAAGGTGCAACCCTATTTTATAGAGGCAAGCTGACCTGTGACCCCATACATTAACTATTAGAGCTGTTGGCACGGCTACAGTGACAGTATTGCTCGTGGTTGATTGTTCTTGGCTGGCTGCTCAGCCGGCCAAAGAAGGAAAATAACTCAATGTGGTGGGTTTGAGATTCCTGGAAGTGGGATCATTCATTTCCTGTTGACATACAATTTATTATATTTTGCAGAATTCACTGCTATTGAAGAAAAACCATTACTGCCCGCAAGAATCAAGGCTAGGCACTCAGTCCTCATATATCACTAAGAATCAACCCATCACAAGCAGAGCAGCATCCTCAATCCTTAGAGGCAGTTACCGAACTGTGCATGAACCTGATCTTATAGCAAGAAGCTAACCTGAAGAATGAAAGAATGCACAAATTTCTGTGTAGGACACAATGATGTGATTTTTTTTGTTTTCCCTTTTTAATTTTTTCATAGCTCACCACTGCCCGGCGATCCCACAGAAAACCCTTTGTGACCCCATTTGCGGTTGCGATCCATGGGTTGGGAGCCACTGCTGTTAGGCATGGCCATTGATTATGATATTTGGAGTTGTAGGCCAAAAGGTAACTTTTTGAGATGTGAGGCTAAACTTCATGATACCAACCAGACATGCAGGAACATGGTGGGGACAATTCAAATCAAACTCATGCCAAGAATGGGTTAGTTTGCTAGTGTTGATAAGCCTCCAGTTGTGCTCTTTTGTTTTCTCTCCAAGTCAAGAGAGCCACAACACTTACCAGACATTCAATGTTACACTACAGCAGTGGTTCTCAACCTGGGGTCCCCAGATGTTTTTGGCCTTCGACTCCCAGAAATCAAAACAGCTGGTAAACTGGCTGGGATTTCTGGGAGTTGTAGGCAAAAAACATCTGGGGACCCCAGGTTGAGAACCACTGCACTACAGTGTTCCTTCACTTATCACCGGGGTTCCGTTCTAGGATCACACGAGATAAGTGAAAATCCACAAAGTAGGACACCATATTAATGTTAATATTTTTACATTATCTAATATATATATATATATATATATATATATATATATATATATATATATAAAATACACACACACACATACTCTGTGCATAATGAGTACCTTAAAAACAAAAGAACCAATGAACAAAATCACACCAAATGTGGCAACGAAGCATCTCACAACACAAGGAGTGACCATCACTCAAAAATTATCATTTTGTCATTTGGGAGTTGTAGTTGCTGGGATTTATAGTTCACCTATAATCAAAGAGCATTCTGAACTCCACCAACAATGGAATTGAACCAAACTTGGCACACAGGACTCCCATGACCAACTGAAAATACTGGAAGGGTTTGGTGGGCATTGACCTTGAGTTTTAGAGTTGTAGTTCACCTACATCTCGAGAGAACTGTGGACTCAAACAATGATGGCTCTGGCCAAACTTGACAGAAATACTCAATATGCCTAAATGTGAACACAGATGGAGTTTGGGGAAAATAGACCTTGACATTTGGGAATTCACCTACAATAAAAGAGCATTCCTAACCCCACCAACGATGGAATTGGGCCAAACTTCCCACACAGAACCCCATGACCAACAGAAAATACTGTGTTTTCTGGTGGTCTTTGGTGACCCCTCTGACACTCCCCTTGTGACCCCTCCCCCCAGGTCTTGACTTCCCAGATTGAGAAATACTGCCTTAAGGCCATCCAGTCCAACTCCCTTCACCAGGGCAAGAAAACATAATCAAAGTCCTCCTGACAAAGGGCCATTCACACACACACATATGCATATGACAGATGCAGTATCAAAGATTTGAAAGGGACCCCTAAAGAAGGACAATGATATGTTGCATGTTCCAGAGTAGGCAAACCAGACAATCTCCACATCAACACTGGCAAAGAAAAAGCAAGAAATGCTGTTTACCCACAAGCATAAAGAAATTACATATATTAGAAACCAACACTTTCTCGTTACTTTATTTCCCTGATCACCAGACTGGGCCACAGCAACGCATGGCAGGGGACTGCTAGTTTTATATATTTTACATATTATTTTCTTACCCGTGCTTCCTTACCTGCCTCCCCGCCCATCCCAAGGGTACCTGCCTGCCTCCTTGGCCTCTGCACACCTTGCCAGAGTCTCCAGAGCCACACCCATGGGTCCCCAGATGTTTTGGCCTTCAACTTCCAGAAATCCTAACAGCTGGTAAACTCGCTGGGATTTCTGGGAGTTGTGGGCCAAAACACCTTGGGACCCACAGGCTGAGAACCATTGCACTAGATGGATAACCGGTTCACTCCAACAGGCTTTCCCTTACAACAACAACAACAACAACAACAAAACAACAACATCTTTATTTATATCCCGCCCCCCCTCCAAACAGGACTTATTCTCTTAACTTACTCTGTGGGAACTTTGGCGGGTTGTCGTTGACATCAGTAAGTGTAATTGTGACTTTGGTTGTCCCTGAGAGTCCTCCCATGTGTCCTCCCATGTCTTTTGCTTGTATGACAACATGATATTCTTCCTTTGCTTCTCTGTCCATGTTGGGAAGTGCAGTTCTGATAATACCTTCACATACAAGAGGAAAAGATCAGAACCTTTTTTAAAGAATCAGGCTGCATTAGTGTCAAGATTTCATACATGAATATCAGATTGTGTATGGTCAAGCAACACCAGTGTGGTCAAGAGAGTAAAGTGATTGATTAATGAGGAATACCACATGAATTAGAAGAAATGACAAGGCAGTCTGTTTTGACTGGGAGTCTTTGGGGAAATAAGGATACTTCCCTCTCCATTCTATCTACCTGCTTAATCAGTTGATTGTAAATTATTATTTTTTCACATCAAATTCAATTTGCAGGAACTAAAATAATCTGAGAAGAAAGTGGGAAGCTTCTTAATATTTATGGACCTATAACTTCTTAAGCTTTCATACCTCCTGTCATGATAGTATATATAAACAACTATGAAACCTTCAGTGGACTGGATCCTATAACTTAAGTCATAGTTAGAGTAATATAAAATCAGCAAAATAGCTGATTCCTGAGTGAAATATACTTACAGCAGATCTTCTAAATCTGTGATATATAGGTTATTAATGAATGAGAGACTTCGTGACTAAATTATATGTCACTTGATTTCAGTGAGTCCGTTCACAAGGGAGGTAATATCCAGAGTTCTGGGGCCACCTTCACTATGGAAATGTGGAGGGCTGTAACCACTATTTTACCTCCCTCTACCCCTCCAATTTCTCCCTCTCCCATACCCAGCCAATACAGCCAGTGGGGTAAAATAAGGGTTTCCCTTGACATTAAGTCTAGTTGTGTCCAACTCTGGGGGGTGGTGCTCATCTCAATTTCTAAGCCAAAGAGCCAGTTGTCCAGTAGACACCTCCAGATCATGTGGCCAGCATGACTGCATGGAGTGCCATGTTACCTTCCACAGAAGCGGTACCTATTGATCTACTCACATTTGTATGTTTTCAAACTGTTAGAGGCCTAATAGTGGGAGCTCACTTTGCTCCCTGGAATCACACCACCAAGTTTTCGATCAGCAAGTTCAGCAGCTCAGCGGTTTAACCCACTGTTGCACCAATGGGCCCAGCTAGTGGGGTAACTGGGCAATTTTTGTCCACAGACTGGGGTTGACTGGACAGTCAGATGCAAATTTAAGGGGAGACACCCCCAGGGATTAAACAAGTTGAGTGGCCAAATTGCTAGAACAAAGGCTATGGATTTCCAACACCTGGCCTCCTACATTTCTCTTTTAAAGCATTTTTTTGGAGGGGGGATTTCTGTAAATGCTCTCAAAGATTTTTGAGGCAATTTCAACAAATTTGGGTCCACCTCTGACTATCTTACATCCAGAAGAGGCATTTTCCCCCCTACACAGTGATGTACAAGTTGACCTCTGAGTTATATCTCACTAGGAAAAGTACATGGAAGTATAGGAACGGTGGCAAATTGCTCCACTCACCCTTTGGAAAGCATTTCGAGGTGCAATCTTTTAGAAAAATTCAGAGGCCACTGAGAGGTCCAATAGAGGACCTCTACGTGGGGTTGCCTTTGAAGACTGTTCGGAAACTTCAATTAGTCCAGTGGAGGCAGCCAGATTACTCACCGGAGCGTCATACAGGGAGCATACCACCCCCCTGTTATGTCAGCTCCACTGGCTGCCGATCCAGTTCCGAGCACAATTCAAAGTGCTGGTTTTGACCTACAAAACCCTATACGGTTCCGGCCCAGCGTATCTGTCCGAACGGATCTCCCTCTACGTCCCACCTCGGAGTTTAAGATCTTCTGGGGAGGCCCTGCTCTCGACCCCGCCTCTATCACAAGTGAGATTGGCGGGGACGAGGAGCAGGGCCTTCTCGGTGGTGGCCCCTCACCTGTGGAATTCACTCCCTGGGGAAATTAGATCATTGTCATCCCTCTTTTCCTTTAGAAGGAAATTAAAGACATGGATTTGGGACCAGGCGTTTGGGCAATCTGACAGATAAATAAAGGACAACGACGACCGATAGGAATGGAAAATGTGGAATGAAATTATGGACTCTGAGTTGCGAACGCTGAGCATAAGATTGGTTTTTATTGACTGTGATATATATTGATTGTTTTGTTATGACTGTTTTAATTGCTGTCTATATTTTATCTGTATTACTGTGTAGGCATCGAATTGTGCCTTTTTGTAAGCCGCCCTGAGTCCCCCCTCGGGGGTTGAGAAGGGCGGGGTAGAAGTACACAAAATAAATAAATAAATAAATAAATATGGTGGTTCATGGGTGGTGTCATCCTTGGTCCACCTTTTGTTAGGCTATGATGACTATAATTATGAAATTGGCTTCAGATTTACTGAAATCAGAGTGGACCAAATATGGACAATGAGACCTCCTAGAACTCATACTGTGACTCCACAGACCACAAATTAGGAGTGGGAATTATGTATAGGTTGTTGGACTACAAATCCCACATCAGTCACCACCAGCAATGCTATGGGTATTGTCCAATTGCTTGAAGGCCACATGATTCCCATCCCTTCCTTTGACCCGGCTGACAGTTTTTATCCCCAAGCATCCTCTGCAAAAGGTGTGGATCTCCAATGAGTGGATCTTTACTGAATAAATCAAGCATGGCAAACAGTTTTTAAAGCTGTGCAGTCTTCAAGAATTTCCTTGAAGTGGGGAGAAAATTCGTTATAGTACTCCCTTCTCCATGAAACTGAAATGTAAGGCTAATAAAAGAATATTATTCAGGTCATCCTAAGGCCGTGATGGCGAACCTATGACACGCGTGTCAGTACTGACACGCGTAGCCATTTCTACTGACACGCGCCCGCCGGATATTATTTGTTTATTTATTTTATGCCATTTTAAAAAATAAATAGGAAAGAAATTATTATTTTGCAATGTTACCTAAATATTAAGGAGTTTCATATTTAAACTGAATGATAAATACTATTACTTTGCTATATTATTCAAATATTAAAATGCATTAAATTAAATGTCAAATTTAAAAATATTTAATTATTATTAACATTTAGGTAACATTGCAAAATAATATTGGTTTATTTATTTATTTAATTATTATTAAGTAAACGAATATTATTTTGCATTGTTTCCTAAATATTAAGGAGTTACATATTTAAATGAAATGAAATGGTAAATAATACTTTGCTATATTACTCAAATATTTCAGAATGCCTTAAATGAAATGGTAAATTGAATTTTAATTTGACATTTAATTTAATGCATTTTAAATATTTTTAATATACGTATATATATATATATATATATATATATATATATATATATATATGCCTTAAATGAAATGGTAAATTAAATATCAAAATATTATTTTGCAATGTTACTTTATTGTTAATGCATTATTATTATTATTATTAGAAATACATTAAATAGCATATTAAATGCTAGAAATAAATTTAAATTAAATTAAAAATAAATAATATTTTGTTGGGTTTTTAAAATTATATTTTTATTAAACACTCCAAAAAGGATATTATTTACATAAAGAGAGGTAGAACAACATGATAAGAGAGAAAGTGGGAATTACAATTATATATTTTTTTGTTATTTAAACTAAATATTGCAAAATTATGGTTTTTTTCTTGAAGTGACACACCACCTGAATTATGCTCAGTTTTTTGGCTAATTTTGACACACCACGCTCAAAAGGTTGCCCATCACTGTCCTAAGGCATAGAAAGGGAACTTCTGTAGTACTCTAGATGTTTCTGGATGCCATCAGCCCTATACCACCATAGCCAGTTCTCAAGGATGAGGGGAGTTGTAAGCCAACCTCAGAAGAACCTCAAGTTGCCTTCTCCTGACATTGGGACTGCAATGTGTTTGATGTCTGTAATTAGAAAAAATGATAGAGAAGTACCTGTTTGTGCTTCCACTGAGAAGTACGGTTGCCCTTCCAGGATGCTGTAAACTAATTTGGCACTATTTCCATAGGTAGGATCATCAGCATCTGATGCTGTTACCTGAATAACAGAAGTACCTAAAATATGGAGGGAAACACACATATGATACAAGATCTTCAAAACAACAACAGCAACAACACAAGACTTTCAAACAAAAAAGTATTGTAGCTGAACCTCAACTTTCATGGGTTTCACTTTTGTTGTTTTGATTATTTTTCAGTATACCACCATTAATTAAAATTTGAATTTGAGTTTTACAGCAAATTGAGGGAAATTGCAGATGTAAGTGAAAACTTTTTTTTTAAAAAAAAAAACAATAGCAAAACTCCTAAAACTGGATGTCACCTTCACTATGTGATAGACCAATATATTTATTTAATTGCTATATTAAAACAAGGGTAAAAATGGGCTCAAAGCCAACCTTAAAAACTCTGGCATAGACACTGAGAACTGGGAAGCCTGGCCCTTGGGCGCTCCAGCTGGAGGTCAGCTGTGACCAGCAGTACTGCAGAATTTTAAGAGGCACATATGGAGGGTGAAAGAGAGAAACGTGTTCTTTTGCGTGACCACCCCTCCCATTTCTTAATATTGCTTCATATGTATGAATCATACAAAAAAATTACGACCATCGAATTACAAATTGAAGTTTTGCACAGCACTATTGGCTATATTTGATGAAAATCTGCCAAGTGTCCATCCCTCAAGATGCCAAGCTTCCACTGGAAAGATCTCTTGTAACGAACTGACTCACTTTGGCTTTTTAAAGGAATATCTGGCTATGGATCCCAGATGAGGGCCTCTAGATTTAAAAGACAAATATAGGAAGAGATACCTTTAGCTCCATAGACTAGAGTTTAATATGTACTTTTCTTTGGGAGGTTTGCCTTTTCACTTTAAAGTCCTTGCAGGGAGTGATATAGTTAAGACAGAGGTTTACCCCTTTGCTGTTATTTATTATTACTAGGTCTGATTATCCTTAGCCTAAACTGCAATGAATGGTCAAGTTACTAATTACTAGGCATGGTTAGGTTCGGTCGGAATCTTTGTAATTTGGATTAAATTAGAAAAGATTTGCTTTTTGAAGCGATTTCAAAGTTTTTAAGTAAACCCTTTTGAAGCTTTTCCCATCATTTCTGTTATGAAGCATAAGTGAGTCGGAAATTATTCAGTTTCCCCCCACTTCTGGGCTGCAGCTTGGGCAGAGTTTAAAAACAAACTGGATGTATTTCCTGCCTTTTCTTTCCCTTCACTATTCGGTTGGAGCCTGAGCAGAGTTTAAAAACAAACTGGATGTATTTCCTGCCTTTACTTTCCCTTCACTATTCGGTTGGAGCCTGAGCAGAGTTTAAAAACAAACTGGATGTATTTCCTGCCTTTTCTTTCCCTTCGCTATTCGGTTGGAGCCTGAGCAGAGTTTAAAAACAAACTGGATGTATTTCCTGCCTTTCCTTTCCCT